GTCCAGAAGTACCTAGGAACCAAACGCCGCCTGGCTTCGGCCTCGGACTCCGAACACCAGCGCGGTCACACGCCACCAAGCGGGAAGTGTGAGCACCCGGCTTCTCCCGCAGATCCCCAACGCCCTTACACCAATACGGAAGGAGGTGTCAGAGAGGGAAGCGCGGTGGGAGCGGCCTCGAAGTTGAGCATGGGCAGCCCCTATACACGGGACTGAGAAACACCAGTTGTGCTGGGTCGGAATCGGAGCAGGGAGGGAGAGCCTCTCAGCCCATGCCCTGAGGTCCTGGAAGCTTCCCTAAGTCTTTCTGCTAAGTCATCAGAGCAGGCCCCAAGGTTACTCCAGTGGATCCCCGACAGTACCCAGTTCCCCAGCTCCTAGTAGGGAATGGACCCTATTTTCTCATCCGTCTCCACCCTTTCTCTCGGAGGGGGGCCTTCCATCGCCCCTTCTTGTAGAGGACCTAGCCTACCTACCTCAGAGCGGACCACTTCCGCCATTGCTGTCCCCAGACTATGCTCGCCCTTTCCTGCAGATTCTTTCAACAGCCGAGGGTGGGGTAGGGTAGAGGGACGCTAAAACACCAAAGAACCATCAAACAGATCTGTTCAGGTGGCGGACCCGCCGGTTATAGTCAAAAGTGGCAACAGCTCTTTTATTTAGCCAAAAATAGATACTTTCTTGTACAATTTGGTTCACACATATGTACATTTTCTGTATATACAAAAAGAGTCAGACACGCTTATTCTCTCTGCAACTCCACCCCGCCACCCCCGAAATCAACAGAACAAACAAGCCTCACAATCTAATGTGGGGCAGTACAGAAGCGACTTGGGGAGGGCCAAGGGGGGGGCTGGCTTTATTCTTTCTTTTGTTCTTTTTGTTTGTTTGTTGGTTTAGTGTTTCTTTTTTAGGTATTCATACACAGACATGCTTGCAAGTCATAACTATACAGAGCGATTTGTGTTTTTTTTTTTACAATTAGTACAACGATTTAAAAATTGATGAAAGAACTAAGATGAGGAGAGAGCTGATAAGACCAGAGCAGCATCCAAGTGGTTCTGGGGCCTGGAAGAGAGCAGGAGCAAAGGAAACGAGATTTAGAGACGTGGAGGCTGCTCAGATAGGGGACACTCTACTGAGCCTAGGGCCAGGCTTATGGACTTGTTCAGCCCTGGGTATATTAACTATAAGCTAGACAGAAGAGCTCAGAATTAAAGGTCGGGGGTGGAGGAAGATGGAAATCAGGCAGAGAAGGCCTTGTGTTCCTGAGGCTTGTTTGAGGGGCCAGCCTTCCCCAGTTCTGTACCCACAGGCCCTGCTTGAGGTGCCAAACTGAGAACGGAAAAGCCTCTATGAGTCCACAAGAAGTGACACAAGAGTGGGGTTTTGGTGCTTTTTAGAAATAGTCTCCCAGCCACTTTTCTCCCTTCCCCGGGTGCGGTGGGGGGAGCAAAAGGTTTCTGTCATTGGCTCTGTGTTTTTCTTATCTCTCCTGAAGGGTCTCCCACTCTGCTTCCCAAATGCAGGGTCTCTTACCGCCTTGGCACGGGCTGGAAAGCTGTCTTGAGTAACTTTTTCTCCATTTCCAAGGCACTACAGCGATCTGTAGGAAACAAGGGGAAGAAAAGAGAGGCCTTCAGAACTCTGGGTCCAGGCCTCTAGGGCCGCTGCACTAGAGCGGGAGCGAAGAGGAAAACATCGAATGTGCCCCAAACCCTTGTTCTTTCCCTCTAGCCAAGGCGAGAGCCCCACCAACACCCTCTCACTGAGACCCACACTTCTGTAGTCACCTGTTCCACTCTCCGGCTCCGTAGGCCGAGCATAGGCGGCAGGGGCGGCGGCCGCAGCCGCCGGGTGACCCGTGGCTCCGGGAAGTCCCAGCAGGTGCTGTGGGGCCGAGCCCAACATGGACAGCGGGTGCGGCCGCGGGCCGGGCGGCGGGCCTGGGAAAGGCCGGTTGGTCCAAGCGGGGAATTTGCCAAGCGGCGCCGAGACGAGTCTGTGTGCCGCCGCTGCTGCAGCGGCAGCCGCGGGGGGGG